ATACGTTAATATCTTTGTTTGAAAAGTCTGCAGTCATCAAATATATGTTTAACACAAAATAACATAAAAATAAAATAAAAGGTTACACTTTGATAACCCCATTTCAAGTCATATTCCTGGTCAATGATAAATAAACAAAATCCTATTAACATCTTTCTATATAGATATTCATTTATAATATTTAAGTGTGTGATTAACTTTACTTAACAAATTAGAAAGGAATCGACGCCAAGCAGCAACAAATTTTTTCAGTTTTATGTTTAGTTTGAAATTACGTAAGAATTATATTAATAGTTTATATTATGCGTTTAAATTATTAATTATATATTTTCTTAAACATTCTAGTAAATGCCCAAAATAAAAGTAACATAACATCAATTATATAATTTTATACTTTTTAAACAATGAAACTATTATGTGCAACATTTGTGTTAAATTTATATTGCTGAATGTGAAGTTATAACAATGATGTTATCTTACTTCGTTTACTAGAATGTTTAAACAGTTGTGAAATATATTTCTTGTATTTGTATCACACTTTGTGTAAACAAGTAAACGCTACGATAAGCCATTGAATCATGTAAACAAGTAAACGTTGAAATGAACCATTTTATTCATTATATAAACATTATATAAACATGTATTTTATTAACTTAATATTATTCAATGTAAAATTATAATATTAATATTATGTTATTTTTAGTTAGCGTTTACTAAGATGTTTTCACAGCTATATATTTTTTCTATTTATATCATATTTTATATAAGCAAAATGATCCATACAAACTTATTCATACAAATATCAGCTTCATAGGACATAAAACAGGTAAAATATACATTTACCATATGCGGTGCACTGATAGTCACGTTGTAACCAATTCTTCTGGGACGATCGAGGTAAGGATCCGGTTCGTGGCAGTATTTTGCTCTGTCAACAGCGAGCATAGCGGCTTCTGCTCTGTCCGTTGCCAGTATACCAGCATCTGCGAATAATCTGTCCCTAATTGCCGTACAAAGCGAACAATTGTAATTCTAACGAATAATAGATTTCGGTGCAATAATTAAATCCGTCCTTCCTATGCATCGATCCTACGACGATCGCAGGGGTCATTTACCTTTCAACTTCATCACCATCTCTTGGTTCGTAGTGCCATTGCAGTGCCATGCCATGCTTCGCAGGCTGTCCCTTGCAATCCACCGGGAAGAGCCTCGTATCGCAGCCGAGAAAATCTGCCTTACATCATAAAACAATACACAGATGATCATGAATGACAACAGAGACGACGCATGACGACGTTTGCCGATGATCGATTTTATTCAGGCCGCTTAATTTCTGGCGACAATAAACACTCAACGAAAAATGTTTGAAAAAAACGGCGGATAAAAAAAACGTACCTTGAAAATTTCAGGGCAGCCTCATTTATCGCGAAACGTCCTCATCAGTCCTCATTCCTCCTCTCGTGCCTAATATGGCCGTGATGACACAAGTGGCGACCTTAAGGGAGAATCGTTGGTGAGAGAAGCAGCAGGGAAAGGAGGGAATTAAACAGCTGATGCGGTGGCTATCGATTTGCCTCTCGCCCGCGAAATTGGAACGCGGATTTAAATTTGCGAACCTTTCCAAAACGCGTTAAACTCCGAAATGAAGATTTTTATAATTGTAAATATATTAACGTGAGATATTGATGTCAGCTTTCTTAGAATTCGCGGGGAAACAACCGGCGGATGAAGAGAGGAGGAAACTCAAAAATCGTCAATACAATATTAACTCTTAATAATACACGTTAGCATCCTTAATATATGGTAATATAATAAATACACGCCATTCGTGT